TCCTACAGTTATTGTTACTACCCGTGTCTTTAAAAAATTGATCATCTTTTCCTTTGTGAATTTGGTGCATGCTTAATACTGATAATTTTTCATTGTATATAGTGCTTTTTTGGCATAATGTAATCTTTCCTGTTTATCTCTTTCTATACTGTGACATTTTCATTGTTGCCTTAATCAATAATGTGATGGCAATTCCTATTTTGGGGGGAATCATTTGATGAGTGGTATATTTGATTCCCGCCACTTATTTTAATTTTGTATGTTCCTTTATTTTTAAAATATATTTCTTTAATGCAGCAAATTGTTGAGTTTCATTTTCTTAGCAAATCTGCTAATGTTCTTTTGTTTTATTGGGGAGTTTAATCCATTCACATGTTAAGTTATAGCTGTCATGTCTTCCATTTAATTCTTTTTTAAAAATTGATTTTCTTCTTTTAAGCCAGCATTTAAAGGCCCTGGGATTAGTTTTGTTTACACTAATTTGAACTCAGATTTCTTCCACAGACTCATTCTTCCTTCCTTGTATCCCAAGTTCCATGGAAGCAGTTCTGTGGTACAGTGGAAAAAGTTCTGGGTATCAGTTCTGGTTTGAGTCCTAGCCTTACTACTTACAATATATTTAACTTTGGGCAGCATATTTGACCTCTCTTGGTCTCAGTTTTAACATATTAAAAAAGAGGGTGATTGGGCTAGATGACCTTAAAAGTCCCCTCTAGCTTTTAACATGATTCTATATTTTGAATGGATTTGGAGTCAGAGGGATTGGTTAGAGTCTTGTTCTACCACTTTACTACCTCTGTGTCTTTGGATAAATCACTTTTCTGGGCCTCAGTTTCTTCATCTGTAAAATGAAGGGATTGGACTAAATAACATTGAAGGTCCCTTCCATCTCTGTATCTATAATCCTGTGATAGTTTATGTAAAATTTTAATATCTCTTTTAATTTATTCTGGTTCCCTACCCCCTTTACACTACACTTTCCCACAAATGACTATAATTCTAAATTTTCTTCTCCCAGCACCATCCAGCCTCTTCACCTGGCTAACATTCATTTGTTGCACCCCTTCTCAAGAAGTATTAATTTACTTTGTCTTCTTTATTTCTTCTCCTGCCTAGGTTATTCTCAACTCCAATCTTGCATTCATGGGCTTTTTTTGCTTATATGCTCTTTTATTTTCTCTACATTCCTCATCAAAGATAGGGGTTCTTTCTGGAAGACAAAGCTTCTATTCTCTCCTGTTTGTCTGTTTGCAGATCTCACCCAATCCTTTTGTCTCCTCCCTCTTTTTATTTATTTATTTCATTTAGTTTGTTTTTTGAAGGACCTTCTGCCAAGAAAATATCAATAGAAATATAAATTCATAAAGAAGGTAGTGGTGGGAATCATTCTGTCTCTGGAGACATAAGGCCTGATCCCACACTCTGCTCTTACCATACTGCTCATCTCCTCTAGGGTCAGTATGTCCTATCTTTGAATGTGTTTCCCTCTCCACCTTGGAAGCTGGCTAACCCCCGAGGCCTTTATATAATGTTTTCTGGGGTGAGATGGTGTTCTGGGAAGCTGAGTATTCACTGAGAGAAGTTAGTCTCCTAAGGTATTAGTGACCTACTTTAGGTAACATTATGACAAATAATGCAAAGGAGTTTGCAAAGGGGTTTGCAAAGGGGTGAGGGAAAAAGAGAGAGGGGGGGAAAGAGAGAGAGAGAGAGAGAGAGAGAGAGAGAGAGAGAGAGAGAGAAGAGAGAGAGAGAGGAAGAGAATGATGGTTTGATGTTATGTGCTCTGTGTATATAAATGGTACCTGCTGAACTTGCTTTTGGTGTTCTAGCCCTAGAGGACATCCCTGAGAACACTGGGAAGAGGTGACACTAGAGTACTTTAAAAAAAAAAAAGAGGATCAACCCCATAAGCTAAAGGAAAGCAGAAGCTCCTACAGTGGAATTTCTGGCATTTGAGGGTTTGGAGGTTTGGAGGGGGTTTTGTGAAGACTTCTGTATCCAACAGTGTGATGGTAAATGTTTAACAATCAACTCTCTAGGGAAAAAAGAATACTCATGACACACTTTTAAGTTTCATCTGCATTTTAAACATTTTCTCTGTTACTTTCTTAAGTCTAGATAACCAACAAAACAATAAACAAGGCTCAGCTTTGTAGCATTTCTTAATTTCCAAAGCATAAATGCTCACATTGAAAATTTAGCAATTGTCGCCCCTTCCTCTGTCTACAATTAGTAAAATAGATGATTGCTAATTTTCCCCCCAGTCGTTATGATCAGCTCCAGAGAAGTGACATGGCATAGTGACAAAAGAACTGGCCATTGAGTCAGGAGGACCTGAATTCAAGTTTCCCTTCTGATATACACTGGTTGTATGACCCTGGGAAAATCACTTAACCTCTCAGGGCCCCAAGCACCTGTGCTTATAAGTTACAAAGAAGGTGACACTTAGCATTGTTAGAGGAAGTTCCTCAACTAGAGCTCTCTTCACTGACGAAATCACAGGCTCAGTCCAAAAAATGATGGGCTTTATCCAAACGTTCTTCCTTGGTTTTCCAGGCTATCAGTACCATGCATTTTGGAGACATTGTAAATGAATAAAGATTACATGCAAATATGTACATATGCACATTCAAAAGTCTCTATTAGTGATTTCCTTCTGAGAAGTCTTTTTTTGGCTTTTGTGCTTTGTTTTCTTTCCTTCTCTTATCTGTACATTATTGACATGATTAGGTCTGCTCTGGCTGGCACCCCAGGGTCCAGTGGTAGTAATTCTGTAACCATCTGGTTGCATGTGATTAATGTTCATGTAAAAGCATAATGGGAATTCCATTGTTCACCGAGTTGTGACAAGCTTATTTTCTTTTTCATTTAGTTAAAAAGAGGGCTGGTAATAAATAGTTGTTTTGGAAAAGTTACTTTTTGCTATTAATTCCCCCATCTATATCTTTCTACAAATATACCCAGTCAAATTATTCTGCTTACAAAAATAGTTCATAAAACAATAAGAAATATAATCTCACAGATAAAATGTGTCCTTAAGTAAGGGTGGGTATGAAGTCATTTTAAGGAAAGAGAGAAAGGCTCTCAAAGAAATCCAATACCCTTTTAAGAGTCCCTAAGAATGTCACCCTTCTCCAGTGATTCAACAAACAACAGAACCTTAGGGAGCTCAAGATGATTTTTAGAAAAGCAGAAAAAATAAATTATATTGGTAATAGCATACTGTGACTAATTTGCAGCTCTTTGTGGGCTGTGACCACATGATGCAGAAAATTAATATGATGTATTTATTTAAAATATGATGGAAAATGTATAAAATAAAATTTATTTTATTTACTTAGGTGTCAGTTCCTATGAAATGAAATAGGCAGAAAACTACTTTGTAGGAGAAAAAACCTCAAGAGATAAACCTTAAATTCCATATAATGCAATGTATTTTGTTATATTTATTTATAGATAATATATAATATACTTATTTGCTTATTTATATAATATTTTATATTATATCTTTATATATTTTATACACATTTTAAAATTGTCAGTTTGGCCTTTTTTTTTTGAATACGTGCATGTGGGATTGGATAGACTGGTTGGTATCCAGTGTTCCTGTTTCTGCTGAGTTTCTGTCACCTGTGTTTTGGGTAGGTGGTTTGGACAGAGCTCTCTCTCCGAGCCCGTTTGCTGCTTGAGCAAACATCTCCACTTGGTGGGCAGCATAATGTTTTTGCTTAGATTGGAGCCTGCTTCACTGATTTCTTGATGCTAATTGCTTCCTAAAAATTGATGACCCCGTGAGGTTTCTTTGCATGGCTTCCAGTTTTTCCAGTCTTTCATTCTTACTCTCTGGGTCACTAAAGTGGGGGATTGCGATGCAGGGATGAAGACTCTCCCCTTCCCACTGACTATTGTTTCATTTATAGTCCTGCTGGGGACTATAGAGTGTAGTCATTGTCCATGCCATGGTGCTTTACTCCAGTAAATACAACATAATCTGGTCAGTAAATTTTGTTCTGCCAAACAGGAAGGAATAAGTAACATCCTATGTCATTTTCTTGTGTGCATAGTGTCCATGACCCTTTGTACAAGGACTGACTCTGAAGACTTGCGCATAATAGATGAGCAGACTACCAACCTTTCATCTAAAAGGCTCTTGTAAAAGCATCACATTTCCCATTTCACTGTGGAATGATCAGCAGCTCAGAAAAGGCTCTATTTCCTGTCGATGTCTGCATCATTCTTATTTGCATTATTGGATTTGGCTACTTTGCTGAAAGTGTAACGTATTTCAAGGACTTCAAACTTGTTTCAGACAGTTGTTTATGGGAGCTGCATTGGCAAAGGACTTATGAAAATGGCCTTTTGTGCCCTCCCTGTCTTGAGAAGGGCTGTTCTGAGAAATAGCCCATCCTCCCTCCTTGCTGTGCCTTCCAGACACTTTTCCTGATAACCTGCTATGGAGAAAAATCAGGGGAAAAAAGGGAGTGGCCTTTTGAGAAAGGCTTCCATTGGTTTGGCTTCCCTAATTATGAAGGAATTAGGAAGCAAGATCCTGCATTTGTGTTTTGTTTTTTAAACTTAGAGACATGGCATTAATGAATTAACCAGAAGCTTAGTGCCGGAAAATGTTTCCTTTGTCCTGGTGGGGGAGCCAAATACTACAGATTTGTAATCAGGAAGGCTGTTGATCCTGGCTTCATTGTTGGGCCAGTCATTTGTGAGCTGGTTGCCTGACCACAGGCCACACACTTCTTCCGTGTGAATCTCTCATGTATTTTTACTGTCAGGATTACTGTTGTCAGCTGAGAGCTACCTGAGGGGGGAAATGGTGAGCCCTGAGTTTGCTTTGATTGTATTTATCCCCCCTAGCCAAGGGAGGATGATGCAGAGCACCAGAGCTGCCTTGGTGTGCTGAAATCGAAGGACATCTGTGTATGTGTGTGTGTGTGTGTGTGTGTGTGTGTGAGTGTAGTTGCTAATGCTCTCTGTGTCATTCTCCTTAGAGCTCTGGGAACGCTTCCTATCGCTGCTCTATGTCTTCCTCTGCGGATTTTTCTGATGAAGATGATTTCAGCCAGAAATCAGGCTCTGCATCTCCGGCTCCAGGGGACACATTACCCTGGAATCTCCCTAAGCATGAGCGATCCAAAAGAAAGATTCAAGGTGGTTCGGTGCTGGATCCTGCGGAGAGAGCTGTGCTGAGGATAGCAGGTAAGGGAAGCCGGGAGAGAGAAGGGGGAGGGGTACGGGGGGGTGGGTGCCGGTGAGTGTCATGGAGATTCATCAATTTGTTTTCTCCAAGGGAGGTCAAATGATCGAGAGAATGCACATTGCAGAGATTTTGTGCCAAAAATGGGGGAGGGTACCAGCTGTGAAATTATTTTGTTTACCTTCTTTATCGAGGGAACAGTCTTCCATGCCTTGAGTAGTGACTAAGCTGTTTGGTTCTGCTTTCTGGTTGGATGAATCAGTGCATCTTAAATGAAAGGAAATATCGATAGGCATCTCCATTAAACTTTCATATCCAAATGCATTAGACAGTGTGACAATTTAAAAGTATTAACTCTGGTGATTTCTCAGTGTGTGTATTTGCTAGCCATGTAACTCGGAGAAAAGAGAGCATCCCAAATTGGCATTTGCATCTAGATAGAGGCACAGGTCTGGGTTTGTATATCTGCCTGGATGAAAAACTCAGAGTCATCTGAACCATCTCCCTTAACCTTTTCAGAAGCACCTTTGGCAGAACCTATGTCTCTAGCAGTTTTTGAACATTATACACTGCTCAGGGGCTTAACAGTCCAGAGGCCCTGATTAATTAATATAAGGGAGGGACTGCTGGCCCTCCGTGGCACTTGTGTTCCCTTGCCTGGGTGGTAACAGCCGAAACAGGACAGAGATCTTGTTTTGCCCAGCTGAAAGCTGATAAGAGTGTGTAAATTAATACTTTAACACGGTGATGAGGGTGTCTCTGTGTTACTAGTTGGGGTTATTGTTCCCTCATTTTATTTCCAAAGCATCATACTAATGTATTGAGGGTATGCGTGTGCCCTGGGTGGCTCTTTCCCTAAGAGGCCTTTTGAGTTAGTGTTGCAGCATTCAGTTTCTAACCTCCTTTTTGCCCCTCCTCTTCCCCTTTCCCAGCCCCCACCTCCAACTCCTGCGGCCCCTCCCACACCCTCTTTTAGAAGCTGCTCTTGCCTTTTCACTACAATGCAAAGTTGGTACTTTGCTTTCTTGCAGGGGGGCCTACAGGAGACTAGCCAAGATGCCTGTATCTAGGATCCAGGCCACTACTGCAGCAGACAGGGAGCAAAGCAGAGTCTCCCCCTTAAGTCCCCCCGTAAACATTTTCATGATTACAGGAAAAGCAAACAATCCAGAGCCAGTAGCTTCCTAGTCCAGTTTCTGGGGCAACAGCTTTTGGCTTGTATTATGAGATGCTGGCCTGTCTCCCTTGTCTGAGAGAAAAGAGGAAGAAGGGTGGGAAAGGGGAAAAGGATCAAGGGTGTTTTGGAACAAAGTGAGAGATCGAAGGAAAGGCTAGGAGAACCAAAAGAAGGAAAGGATCTGTACCAGTCCTAGAGCACAGCCTTTCCTGAGTCTGCTAAATGTGTTTAGCCACCTAGCAATGTCATTTCCTTGTTAAAAAAAAATCCCACTGTATGAGGTAAAGGGGAGGAGGGAATTGTTGCTGGGGCCAGATGTAAATAGCACAGTAGGAAAAAAAAGAAGGGAGAAAAAAGACTATGCTGATGAAAAGAGGCCCATGGAGCCTGTACGTATTAGACAACGATCTAGAGAACACAGATGTGGTGTTTGCTGTGAGTGTTTATTAGTAGGAGATGGTATTGGCCTAAATGTTTAGGTAATGATAGTGATGATGCACATTCTGCTTTTGGTGGTGATGGAATTGGTGTCAGAAGACAGGATTGGTGCAGGTGATGAGAGTGGGTGAGAAAAAAGATTGCGTATAGACATTGAACACAAAAAAATGAGAACTGTATTGCATAGTAGGAAATGAGGTACAAATCTAACCAATGAATCAAGCAAGCATTTATTTGCACTAGGGGATGAAGATACAAAGACAAAAATGAAAAACTCCCTGTCCTCAAGAAGTTTACATTCTATCAGGAGCACTTACACAAATTAGTACAAAATGATTTTAAAGTAAATATAAGGTCATTTTGGTATCTGGAAGGCACTAGGCAAGAGTTCTGGTCTCCTGACTCTAGATAGTCTTAGACTAGATTAGTGGGGGAAATCAGGAAAGGCCTCATGTAGGAGGTAGCATGCTTGTTATCACCTTAAAAAGAAGCTAGGGAATTCTAAAATGTGGCGGGAAGGAAGGAGTGCATTCCAACACTTCACCTACATAGTAGATGCTTAATAAATGTTTACTGATTGATTGATTCTAGGCATGGGAGACAACTTATATGAAGGAATGAGGATGTGAAATGGAATGTGTACATGTGTATATTAAAGGCAGAAAAGTATGAAAAGTATATTATATAACATTGTATTAGTGAATGAAGGCCATTCAATTATGTGTATTTTGTGAAAGCTAATAGCAAATATTGATGATCCTTTTTTGATTGTATAATAGCTAGCATTTATATAGCACTTTTGGTTTACAAAGCAATATGTGTATGTGTATAGTCATAATTAATCAAATTGGTAGCATTTGTATGTGTTTGACCTTAGAGCACACTAACATATTTTAAAATGATACAGGTTAAATATTTTAATATTTTCAAATAAACACTTGTAGTTTTTTACCTTACAGCTGACCTGTGTTCCAAAAGTTTACACATACCCAGAATGTCAGAACTAGAAAGGATCTTGGAAATACCTTATTCCAGATTCCTCATTTTACAGATGAGGAAACTGAGGCTCAGAGAGCACAAATGGCTTTCCTGAGCTGACCAGAATCCTGGCTGTCATTACTTTAAGTACAGTTGTTGATTTTTAAGTTGGTTGTTAAGCCCCTAGAATGCATTTTTTGCCATAGAAACAATCTTATAAATGGTGATTAGTTCCTAGGCCAGCTCAGTATAGCTAGATGGCAATAGATAACTATATAAAATCCAGCAAACATTTCTTAAGTACTTCCTGTGGTTAAAAACACTGTACTAGACACAGAGGATACAAAAATAAGAAATGACTCAGTCCTTACTCTAAAAGAAAGAGGCTTCTGGACAGAGTCAGGATAATAAGGGAATATGGTAACTGCAAGAACTCTCTTTACTCTCTTGGGGGAGCCAAGAGGCACAGTTCAAGCCAGCTGTCCAGTATGCATGGGACATGTATAAGTAAGGTATTTGCAGTCAAGGAGTTTTGCTGTAGATACAAAGCCTATCTTTGAATATGCTGGCTGAAAAGATGGATTTTTTAATATTAAAGAAAAAAAAAACAGCCCAGATGTAAACTCTTGGTTCTGGAGATGGACTGGGTCTTTGAAGTTGTAAATAGAGAATGTTAGAAGTATGATCCATTGTTATTGGCTCAGGCATGCGTAAAGCCCAAACTATTTAGTATTATGTTGTTGAGTCATTTTCAGTTGTGCCTGACTCTTCATTACTCCTTTTTGGGGTTTTCTTGGCAAAGATACTACAGTGGTTTGCCCTTTTCTTCTCCAGCTCATTTTACAGATGAGGAAACTGAGACAAAGAGGGTTAAGTGACTTGCTTAGGGTAACACAGCTAAGTAAGTGTCTGAAGTCACATTTGAACTTAAGTCTTCCTGATTCCAGGCCCAGTACTTTATCCACTGTGCCAGCTAGCTTTGCTTTTGCTATGTTAATGTACATAACACTATTTTAGGTGCTACTTGTCTGTGTAGAGGAGGAGAATAGTACTTGCTGTGGAACTGGATATGTGCGCTTTGGTTCTGTTGGGAGGGACACCAACTCTAAAGGACATGCCACACTGTTGGCTTCTGGGAGGTTTTCATTTGTCTCCATGGTTAAGGGATGACCATGTTTCCTTCCTCACTGAGCCAAAGTATAAATGTTCAGTATCAGGATAAGTACTCCAGTCCAGTCTCCCTGCTACACATCATATAAGGTGAAAAATTGGAGTTTGACCTCAAAGACCTTATAAGCTTAATGGAGACAAGATCAAATGCCACACCTATAACTTCATATATTTAAGCCAACAAACATTTATTAAGCATTTACTGGGTATGAAAGGCATTGTGTTAGGTGCTGAGAATACGAAGATAAAATGAAAAATGGCTCTTGTACTCAAGTAGCTTCCATTTTAGTACATGTGGACTAAGCTACTGATTGAAATGTATCATAAAGGATCTACAGTCCTTGGATTTAGAGCTGGAAGAGACCTAGAAATCATTTAGACTTTCCAGCCATTTTCAAAGCATTCAGCCTGCTCTCTGGCCACCCTCATCATCCCCCTTATCACTGGAACCTGGATTCTGCCATTGCAGCTTTGCACTGTAATAGGGGAACTATTGCCTTATTTTGCCCTGGACTAGGTCTCCATGCCACTTCCTAAAAATTTCTAAGCCACATTGCTAGGACTCTGTCTGTCGGTCTGTCTGTCTCTCCCCCATCTCTTAATTCTCCTATATATATGTTATTTTCCTCAATTAGACTATAAGCTCTTCTGTAGAAACTGCCTTGCATGCTTGTAGCCCCAGTGCTTAACACAGTCCTTGGCTCCTAGTAAATGCTTTCAAATTAATTTACTCATTTATATAGATCACCCCCCCCCCTTATTTTGCAGAGGAGAAAACTGAAGCCTAGAGAGGGGGAAGTGACTTCTCCCAGGTCACACAGGTCGGGGAGCAACAGAGCTGGTATCTTAAGCCAGGTCCTCGGAGATTAATTTAATAATTTGCCTTTCTGTTAGGAGAACAGTGTAAGAATAGTCTACTCATAAGTTATCTCATAAGTATGACAACGCAGAGAGATGTTGTCATAGAAAGAATAGTCTGACCTGGGAGTGAAGAAGACTTGAATCGAGAGATTCAGGTCCTATCTCTGACATTCTGGTTTTGGATCCTGGGTGAGGCACTTAATTTATCAGTATTCCCAAACAACTCTCTAAGATTTAAGTTGCAGAGTGATTACCAGTCTGCATTGGTAGAGAGAATTTCTTCACAATGGTTTCCCTATGCCAATGAAAACACAAATCAGGTCAAAAAGAAAGAAAAGAAAAAAGAAAAAAAAAGACAGTACATCAAATTGTGTACAA